CAAGCAATGGGGTAAGGATTCCCTGTTTAATAAATGGTGTTGGGAAAACTGGCTAGCAGTATGCAGAAAGCAGAAACTGGATCCCTTTCTGACACTTTACACCAAAATTAACTCCAGATGGATTAAAGACTTAAATATGAGGCCTAAAACCATAAAAACCCAGAATAAAACCTAGACAAAACCATTAGGGATGTAGGCATAGGCAAGGACTTCATGACTAAACACCAAAAGCATTGGCAACAAAAGCCAAAATGGGACCTAATTAAACTCCAGAGCTTCTGTACAGCAGAGCTACACTCAAAGGAAACAATCATTAGAGTGAACTGGCAACCAACAGAATGGGGAAAAAATTTGCAATCTACCCATCCGACAAAGGACTAATATCCAGAATCTAAAAAGAACAAAACAGATTTACAAGAAAAAAACAAACCCATCCAAAAGTAGGTGAAGGACATGAACAGACACTTTTTAAAATAAGACATTTATGAGGCCAACAAACATATGAATAAATGCTCATCATCACCAGTCATTAGAGAAATGTAAATCAAACCCACATTTAGATACCACCTTATACCAGTTAGAATGGCGATCATTAAAAAATCTGGAGACAACATATGCTGGAGAGGATGTGGAGAAATAGGAACACTTTTACACTGTTGGTGGGAGTGTAAGCTAGTTCAACCATTGTGGAAGATAGTGTGGCGATTCCTCAAAGACCAAGAAATAGAAATTCCATTTAACCCAGCAATCCCATTACTGGATATATATCCAAAGAATTATAAATCATTCTATTATAAAGACACATGCACACTATGTTCATTGCAGCAGTGTTTACAATAGCAAAGACCTGGAACCAACCCACCTGCCCATTGACGATAGACTGGACAAGGAAAATGTGGCACAAATACACCATGGAATACTATGCAGCCATAAAAAAGATAAGTTCATGTCCTTTGTAGGGGCATGGATGAATCTGGAAACATCATTCTCAGCAAACTGACAAGAACAGAAAAACAAACACTGCATGTTCTCACTCATAGGCAGATGTTGAACAATGAGAATACATGGACACAAGGAGGGGAGCATCACACACTAGGGTCTGTTGGGGGGAATAGGGGAAGGACAGCATGGGGTAGGGAGGTTTGGCAGGGATAACATGGAGAGAAATGCCAGATATAGGTGACCAGGAGGGATGGAGGCAGCAAACCACACTGCTACGTATGTACCTATGCAACAATCCTGCATGTACCCCAGAACCTAAAGTGCAATAAAATGTATATATTTATATATACCCAAAACTAGAAAGAAAAAGAGATTTAATGGACTTACAATTCCACGTGGCTGGGGAGGCCTCAGAAACATGGCAAGAGGCAAAAGGAACTTCTTACATGGTAGTGGCAAGAGAAAAGGAAGAAGCAAAAGTGGAAACCCCTGACAAACCCATCAGATCTCATGAGGCTTATTCACTGTCGTGAGAATAGCACGGGGAAGACCAGCCCCCATGATTCAATAACCTCCCCCTGGGTCTCTGGCACAACACATGGGAATTCTGGGAGACAGAATTCAAGCTGAGATTTGGGTGGGGATGCAGCCAAACAACATCACAGCCCAATGTAGAAATCCTAAAATGGCCACTTTCCACTCTCAGAAATAAATTTTCTTCACTGTTATAGACAGAATCCTTGTGTTTTCTTAAAATTCATATGTTATATCTCTACCTACTAATGTGTACTATGAGGTGGGATCTTTTGGAGCCAATTAGGATTAGATTAGATCATGACGGTGGAGCCCTCATAAATGGGATTAGTGTCTTTTTAATTGTCCTGAAAGAGTTCACTTCCTCTTTTTCCTCCAGGTAAGAATGCAACAAGAAGCAGCAATTTGCATCCCTCACCAGAATCTCATCATGCTGCCAGCCTGCACAACTGTAAGCAATAAATTTTTGTTGTGTATAAGCCTCCCAGTCTATGGTATTTTGTTACAGTAATTTGAACAGGCTAAGACATTCACCATCACCAGTGTTTAGAGTTTTATGGGCCTTGAAGAACAGGAGAATTTTTTGGTATCCTGTTGTTTCCTTTATCCCTTTATTTTATCTCTATGTGTCTTTGTCTATCTGACTTGCACTTAGGGCTAGGTTTTAGAGATGGAGTTTGGGAAATAATATATCTCTTCTTTTCTGTAGGCATAAACTAGTTGACTTATCTGGGCTTAATATCTTGGGAGTTAACTAATTATTATTCTTTTCTTTTGGTTAGTGTCTTTTCCAGCAGTAGCGACTTAGGGACTTCCAACGTCCTTTCTGGGACTTAACGGAGTGTTTTTCCCTCTTTTTTTTTGGGCGGGGGGGCAGAGTTTCGCTCTTGTTACCCAGGCTGGAGTGCAATGGCACGATCTCGGCTCACCGCAACCTCCGCCTCCTGGGTTCAGGCAATTCTCCTGCGTCAGCCTCCTGAGTAGCTGAGATTACAGGCACGCGCCACCATGCCCAGCTAATTTTCTGTATTTTTAGTAGAGACGGGGTTTCACCATGTTGACCAGGATGATCTCGATCTCTTGACCTCATGATCCACCCGCCTCAGCCTCCCAAAGTGCTGGGATTACAGGCTTGAGCCACCGCGCCCAGCCATAAATGAAATTTTTAAAAATAAACTATGTTAGTATTTAAGTGTTTTAGTGTTGAGGTAAAGAAGATACACAATATGCATATCATTTGTGTTGAGAATCTGTAGTGATTTTTCTTTTTTGTTGTGTTTTTGACAGAGTCTCGTTTTGTCACCCAAGCTGGAGTGCAGTGACTCAATCTCAGCTCACTGCAACCTTCATTCCCCAGGTGCAAGTGATCCTTCCGCCTTGGCCTCCCCTAATAGTAGGACCACAGGTGTACACTACTAAGCTCAGCTTTTTTTTGTTTGTTTGTTTTGTATTTTTGGTAGAGAGGGGATCTTGCCATGTAGCCCATGCTGAGAATCGGTAGTTTTTAAGAGGCCAAGATTGAGGTGTGGTCAAGAAGAGGGCTCAGCCTAGCAGGATGACATTCCTGTAATACAGTGCATCAGTTAGGGTTCTCTACAGGGACAGAACTAATAGGATACATACATATTTATATAAAAAGACTGTCAACTTTATATGTATATATAAAGGGAAAGTTTTTTAGGTAGTATTAACTCACATGATCGATCACAGGGTCCCACAATAGGCTGTCTCCAAGCTGAGGAGCAAGGAGGCCAGTCCAAATCCCAAAGCTGAAGAACTCTAAGTCTAATGTTCGAGGGTAGGAAGCATCCAGCATGGGAGAAAGATGTAGCTTGGGAGGCTAAGCCAGTCTACTCTTTTCACGTTTTCTGCCTGCTTTATGTACTGGCCACTCCATCAGCTGATTAGATGGTGCCCACTTGGATTAAGGGTGGAGCTGCCTTTCCCGACCCACTAACTCAACTGTTAATCTCCTTTGGCAATACCCTCACAGACACACCTAGGATCAATACTTTGCATCCTTCAATCCAATAAAGTTGACACTCAGTCTCAACCATCACATACAGCTAAGCAGGCATCTAAGGCAGGAGGACTGCTTGAGCCAGGAGTTGAAGGCTGCATGGAGTCATGATGGTGCCACTGCACTCCAGCCTAGGCAACAGAGCAAGACCTTGTCTCTGAAAAAAAAAAAAAAAAAAAAAAGAGGTTCAGAGGATCTGGGTTGGAGTTTGGTCAAGGAGGGGATGTTTCTCACTGATTAATTTTAAAACAGGTATTTTGTTTTAATAGTCTTAAATCTTTGTCAAAGCCTTTGTTCTCTCATCTGTAAAATGGGAATATTAATATCTCCTACATCTCCTGGGATCAAGTGCAGTGCTGAGCAACAGAAATATAATGCAAGCCTCACATGTTATTTACAATATCTTTATAGCCACATTAAATAAAAGAATTAAAAATAAACAAAATATTAATGTTGGTAATATATTTTAACTCAATATATTCAAAATATTTTCTTTCTTTTCCTTTCTTTTGAGACAGAGTCTTGCTCTGTCACCCAGGCTGGAGTGCACTGACAAGATCTTGGCTCACTGTAGCCTCCACCTCCCAGGTTCAAGCGATTCTCCTGTCTCAGTCTCCCAAGTAACTGGGATTACAGGCGCCCACCACCACGCCCGGCTAATTTCTGTATTTTTAGTATAGACAGGGTTTTGTCATACTAACCGGGCTGGTTTCGAACTCCTGACCTCAGGTGATTTGCCCGCCTCAGTCTCCCAAAGTGCTGGAATTACAGGCATGAGCTACCTGGCCCGGTCTCAAAATATTTTCATTTCAACATGTTATCAACATTTAAAAATAATTGGGCTATCTTCATCCTTGTTCTAGTTCCAAGTTTGTGAAATCCGGTATGTATTTTGTACTTGCAGCACTGGCCACACCAGTGCATTGATTGCACAGCACCAGTCTAGACAAGCGACAGGACTTGCCGTCTTCAGCGAGGGGCATTTCTTAGCAAGATGGGGCGGGGCTTCCCGGAGAGTTCGTCTGGGCTCCATCGGCTTCCGTAGGAAGGCGCCAGCCGCGGAGGCGCCACGTCCCTTGCGGCGGCTGGAGAGAAATCACTCGGACTTTGGGGCGGCTCTGGACCGCCATGGCCTTTACCCTATACTCACTGCTGCAGGCAGCCCTGCTCTGCGTTAACGCCATCGCCGTGCTGCACGAGGAGCGATTCCTTAAGAACAGTGAGTGGGGCCGCGGGGCGCGGACTGGGGCAGCGCGCGGACCCGAGTGAGGCCGCGTGAGGGGACACCACTGCCCGGGACTGATGAACAACGGAAGGCTCGGCTCGGAGTGGAAGCAGAGCCTTTCCTCCTCTCATCAGATTTGAGATCAACAGCCGGGAGACTATTCCACAGACACCCGCTGTGCAGGGCCCAGGGGATTGGGGTGGAGGGCTACGGAGGTCTGCCAGGGCGCCTCTGCTTGCGATTACTTCAGGTCGGTAATTTAATCGCAGTTTCCCGTGACAACTTTCTTTCTTTCTTTCTAAAGCCGGGAGCAAGATTGATTCATTTCATTGACTCCTTCAGAAGAGATTTATTGAGCACAAAGTATGTGCCAGGCCCATTTATAGTAACTGAAGTTACAGCAGCTACACTGCCCTTCTGTTGGAAGTCAATCTAAATAAAAACTGAACAAGTAACAAGTATAGAGAGTATTATGTAAGAAAGCGGAGTGCAGGCAGATACTACCTTGTGAATGAATCTGCGAAAGCTTCTTGGAGGAAGTGTGTCTAACCTGAAATCTGATACATGAGTAAACATTAACTCGGTGAAGGTGAAGGTTGGAAGGATGAGGAGACCTTTAAGCAGTGTAGACCTGTGTGAAAACTCTGAGGCAGGTGAGAACAGTGTCTTAAGACAGTGACATGACCAGATTTGTGTTATTTGCAAGATCCTTCTGGCAACAATATGGAGAAAGGTTTGAAAGGGAAAGCAGTGGATGTGGGAAGAGCCATTCTGAATAGGACAAGTAGATGCAAGTGGGTTTAACAACAATGATAATGATAACGAATACTTATATAGCACTTACATGCAGGATCTGTATCAAGTGTTTTACATATATTAACTGGCATAGCCTTCACAGCAACTCTGGGATAGTTTCTTTTTTCATCCCCATTTTCCAGTGGGAAACCAGAAGCACAAAGAGAGTAGGTGGCTTTCCTAAGAACCCACAGGTAGAAAGTAGAAAAGGGTGGAGCTAGGATTCAGACTTCATCTTCCAGTGTTCATCTGTTCACCGCTACACAGAAAAGTAGAAGAGATCAAGTTGGGGGTTGAACTGTGTCCCTCAAACAGATGTATTGAATTCCTAACCCTTGATACCTATAAAGGTGACCTTGTTTGGAAACAGGGTCTCTTTGCAGATGTAATCAAGTTAAGAGAAGATCATACTGGATTAGGGTGGGCGTTAGATCCAATGACTGGTGCCCTTATAAAAAAAGAGATTTGGAGACACACAGATGCACACACAGAAGACCATGTGACAACCGAGGCAGAGATTGGAGTGATGCATATATTAGACAAGGTATACCAAGGATTTCCAGCAACTTCTGGATGTTAAGAGAGAGGCATGGATGAGATTATCCTTCAAAGCCTCCAGAAGGAACCAACCCTGCTCACGCCCTGATTTCAGAGTTTTAGCCTCCAGAATTACGAGAAAATTTATGTTAAGCCACCCAGTTTGTGCTGCTTTGTTATGGTAGCCCTAGGAATCTAATGTAGATCAGAAGGTATTTTAAAAATAAGAGGCTGGGCACCGTGGCTCACACCTGTAATCCTGGCACTTTAGGAGGCCAAGGTGGGCAGATCACTTGAGGTCCTGAGTTTGAGACCACCCTGGATTTCACCATGTTGTGAACATGGTGAAATCCAGTCTCTGCTCAAAATACAGAAATTAGCAGGGTATGATGGTGGGTGCCTGTAATCCCAGCTACTCAGGAGGCTGAGGCAGGAGAATCACTTGTACCCTGGAGGTGGAGGTTGCGGTGAGCTGAGATCACGCCACTGCACTCCAGCCTGGGCAACAAGAGGAAAACTTCCATCTCAAAAAAAAAAAAGAAAGAAACCGCTACAAACTGTTAGAATGGTCCAGAAATACTAATACTTTTCCCTCTAGAACTTTGTCTTCCACATTTTGTCTTCTCTACAGAGGCAGCATAGAAATATTTTGCCCACGCATGTGTTTTGAATTTGGACCCCAAACTAAGGGAAGACACTACATTGGCTTGTCTAAGTTGATAAGCTGTTGTTTAAAAATATCTAAATAGGCAGCCCCCGAGTCAAAGCCGGTTCCCGGCCCAGTCCCGTCCTACAGCAGCCTGCCTCCTCTTTCCTTTCAACATGACAGATGCCACTATGTCCTTTGCCAAGGACTTCCTGGCAGGTGGAGTGGCCGCAGCCATCTTCAAGACGGCGGTAGCGCCCATCGAGCAGGTCAAGCTGCTGCTGCAGGTACAGCATGCCAGCAAGCAGATCACTGCAGATAAGCAATACAAGGGTATTATAGACTGCGTGGTCCGTATTCCCAAGGAGCAGGGAGTCCTGTCCTTCTGGCACGGTAACCTGGCTAATGTCATCAGATACTTCCCCACCCAGGCCCTTAACTTCGCCTTCAAAGATAAATACAAGCAGATCTTCCTGGGTGGTGTGGACAAGAGGACCCAGTTTTGGTGCTACTTTGCAGGGAATCTGGCATCAGTCAGTGCTGCTGGGTCCACATCCTTGTGTTTTGTGTACCCTCTTGATTTTGCCCGTACCCGTCTAGCAACAGATGTGGGTAAAGCTGGAGCTGAAAGGGAATTCCGAGGCCTCGGCGACTGCCTGGTTAAGATCTACAAATCTGATGGGATTAAGGGCCTGTACCAAGGCTTTAATGTGTCTGTGCAGGGTATTATCATCTACCGAGCTGCCTACTTCGGTATCTATGACACTGCAAAGGGAATGCTTCCAGATCCCAAGAACACTCACATCGTTATCAGCTGGATGATCCCACAGACTGTCACTGCTGTTGCTGGGTTGACTTCCTATCCATTTGACACTGTTCGCTGCCGCATGATGATGCAGTCAGGGCGCAAAGGAACTGACATCATGTACACAGGCACACTTGACTGCTGGAGGAAGATTGCTCGTGATGAAGGAGGCAAAGCTTTCTGCAAGGGTGCATGGTCCATTGTTCTCCGAGGCATAGGTGGTGCTTTTGTTCTTGTATGATGAAATCAAGAAGTACACATAAGTTATTTCCTGGGAATTTTCCCTCTGTGAACAGGCATGTGGTATTATATAACATATCTTGAGCATTCTCGACAGACTCCTGGCTGTCAATTTATCTGTGGCAACTATTTACTGGTTGAAAATGGGAAGCAATAATATTCATCTGACCAGTTTTCTCTTAAAGCCATTTCCATGATGATGATGATGGGACTCAATTATATTTTTTATTTCAGTCACTCCTGATAAATATCAAATTTGGAGAAATAAAAATATCTAAAATAAAAAAAATCTAACATTTTAAAATAGAGGTTTAAAATATTTTAAATATTTATTAAATAGAGTTTATATAGGTGCTTTCTTGTTGCCTAGATTTTTTTGTTTTTTTTTTTTTTTTATTTGGTTTTTAGATAAGTAAATATAGATTTTTATAGCAAACTCCTTACTGGTTATCCTCCAGTTTTGCTTCTCTTAGGTGAAGCTGAGCATGTTCTTCAGTGGTTTGAAATTCTTCAGTTCTTCAATATAAACCTCAACACTCTCACATGATTTACAAGCCCACCATAAGGTACCCCTTCCTCCTCCTCCTTCTCTTTTATCCTTTCCCAGTACTTATCCTGTGAACCATTTTTACCACTGCTGAGCCTTTACTCATCAGTGACCTTGACATAACTCCTTTCTTTAAGCAGCTAACTCCTCAGCCTGTCAGTTAAGACCTACCTCTGGCATTGCCCTTTCCCACAAACCATCTGTGACCCATCTCCATGGGTCATATCACCACTGTAGGTTCTTTTCTGTCTCCTCCAGTAGACTGAGGAAAAGAATCCTCGTATCTTTACAGTTCTGTCAATCAATGAATGTTTTCTAAATAATTACATAGCTTTAACATTATCATATTCTTGCAATTCCTGATATAAGGGATATGTGTATTTTTAGAAATAATTTAGCCAGTATTTTCACAGTAATACAGGGAATATGTTGTGTCTTCTAGTTTTCCACAATTATGTTAATTTCCTTTTAGTACAAGAAAAAAATGCCACATAGCAAAGTAGATTTTGATACCTGCAAAAATTGTTCTTACTAGAGTTTTTGTTTGCTTTATCTAATATCAATTTGACAAGTATTTGTCAATATCCAGTACTAGGTATATGTTATGAACACCACAATAGAAACACCTCACACATGAGTCAGTGTGTTAGCTCAGGCTGCTATAACAAAATGCCATAGACTGGGTAGCTTCTCACTTCAATTTTCTCACTGTTCTGGAGCCTGGAGGTCCAGGATCAGGGTACTGGCATGGCTTGATTCTGGTGAGGGCCTTCTTTCTGACTTCAGGTGGTCAGGCTTCAGGCCTTTCTCTAAGAATAGAAAGTGGGCTGCAGTTAACTGAGAACTTACTATATCTTTAAACTACTTCAGTGGTGATGCTTGAATTAATATTAATCCACTATTGTAGAGTTTTATCTTGTTTTGTTGAAGAGCAAAATTTTTTTTACCTGGGAGTCACTCATCTCACATGTAAAAAAAAAGTGTTTAAGCAATTTTTTGGAACAGATCTAAAAGAAAAAAGATTGCTGGGAAGGATGGTTTCCAATAAAAATGGAGTGCATAGTATTTAAAACAAATCCTTTTTACCATATGAGAAATTGTGGCTGTGGATGGAAAGAATTGATGATTTTACCAATGATAAACTTTTGAAACAGGTAAAGAAAATGAAACTATCAGTACCATGTAAAGGTGGTTTTAAAACATAATTTTAAATACTCAATGTGACACCAAAGAACTCATCCCAGCCCTGAGGATGTTCATGCTGTGGGGAGAAAGACCTAGTTGCAGAGGGCTTTCTCTAGCATGAGCTTCTACAGGCTTTCTTTTTAAATTTTGTTTTTACTGTTATCAAAGCAATATGTCTATGTTTTTCAAAGTCAGAAAGCTCTTCAGTTTAAAGAAAGATAGAAGCCATCTGTCTCATTCCTCCTCGACCTGAGCCCCATTCCTTAGAAGCAAACTATTGACTTATGCTGTGGAAGGGTCTCACACAATTCTACCACCAGCAGCACACTCAGGCTTGAGTGAGCACAAGCATACTAGTCCTCCCTTAATCACAGTTTCGCTTTCCACGGTTTCAGTTAAACTGCAGTCAATCACAGTCTGGAAATATCGAAATGGGAAATTTCAGAAATAAGTAATTTATCCATTTGAAATTGTGGGCCGTTATGAAGAGCATGATGGTGCAATAGCACCATCCTGTTCCATTCCACCTGGCAAATGAATTATTCATTTGTCCAGCATCTCTGAGCTGTGTATGCCACCTGCCTCAGTTACCTGTTAGTCACATAGCAGTTAGTTGTCTTGGTTATCAGAGTAAAGGTATCGTAGTGCTTACGTTCAAGTAACCCTTATTTTACTTAATGACCCCAAATTGTAAGAGTAGTGATGTTGGCATATTGTTATAATTATTCTATTTTATCGTTAGTTACTGTTGTTAATCTCTTACTATGCCTAATTTATAAATTAAACTTTACCATAGGTATGTATATACATAAAATCGTACTTATATATATAGTATATATAGGGTTTGGTACTATCTGTGGTTTCAAGCATCCCCTGGGGATCTTGGAACATATGCCCCCATGGATAAGGGGGGATTACTGTAAACATCCTTCTCCATCTCTCCCTTCTCCAACCAATTATTGGTTATATTAGAATTCCATATTTACATTACTGTCACTATAAGTATTGCTCATAGCTGAACGGTAAAAAATAATGACTTTTATTCTTATAGTTGATTTGTGATTTAGGTATAGCATTCTAGATTGAAACTAATTTTTCTGCAGAGTTTTGAAGACATTATACCTTTTAATTTTCTTATTTTTCAGTGTTACTGTTAAATTTAATGCCATTTTATTTTCTGGTTCTTTGTAGGTAACCTGATTTGTCTAAGTCTTTAGGGTATTCTTGTTATCTTTATGAATCTGAAATTTTACAATAATGTGAACAACATGAGGGTCTTTTTTCATTCATTGGGCTGTTTTCTGATTGGACCCTTTGGTTAAAAAGGCCCATGTCCGGTTTAGGGATATTTTCTCTTAACATTTCTTCAATAATTGCTTCCTATGTTTTCTTCTCTCTTTTTGGAACTGATTATTTTGACAGAGTTATACTCTAATTATCTTTTTTCTTTAATTTTGTTTGGTAGGTTTTCTTAATTTCATCTTTCAACCCCCCTTTATTTTCGAACATTTTTTCCTAATGTAACAAGAACTGCTTGACCCCTGGATGGGATCTTTTCTTATGGTATTGTGTTCTTGTTTCATAGCTATTATAATGCCTTTTCTCTAAGGATGTTCATTTAAGAAATTTATTTTTCTACTTCTTGCATCTTCTCTTCCTTAGAGTCTCCATTTCTGTTTGATATGTCTTTCCATATTAAGAATTGTTCTTTCTAGGCCGGGCGCAGTGGCTCACGCCTATAATCCCACTTTGGGAGGCCAAGGCGGGTGGATCACGAGGTCAAGAGATCGAGACCATCCTGGTCAACAAGGTGAAAACCCGTCTCTACTAAAAATACAAAAATTAGCTGGGCATGGTGGTGCGCGCCTGTAGTCCCAGCTACTAGGGAGGCTGAGGCAGGAGAATTGCTTGAACCCAGGAGGCGGAGGTTGCGGTGAGCCGAGACCGTGCCATTGCACTCCAGCCTGGGTAACAACAGCGAAAATCTGTCTCAAAAAAAAACACAAGAATTGTTCTTTCTTGACTATTAGTTTATTTTTATTTGTAAGGCACTGAGAAGCTCTTTGGAAGTTCTATGTGTGGGGTCAGGACTTGTTTACTGGTGGGTCTCACTATTAAGTGAAGGAAGAAATTGGCTATTTCATTGAGGTGAGGCTCCCAAATGTCAGTATTGGAAGGAAGTCTTTCTTCCTAGACAACTGGCCAATTTCCAGAGTAATTTTCTAACTTCCTGAGTGTAAAATATAAGTTTTATACATTCAGACGTATGTGAGAGATAGAGCACATGGGCGGAGAAGTCTTACACGTTGGTATTCAGACTTTTATTCAATCCACGCTCCATGGCTGTCCGCAGGTTCAGAGCTTGTGTGTTTTAGTTTCTTCTGAGAGTAAACAGCCCTTCTTCTGATGGGGTAAGAGAGGCACAGTCTAGGGAAAGGAATGAGGGGAGTCTAATTGCTTTTATATAGTCTTTCTTTTTTTGTTTGTGTTTTCTTTTTAGACAGGGTCTTGCCCTGTCACCCAGGCTGAAGTGCAATGGTATGATCATGGCTCACTGCATTCTCGATCTCCTGGGCTCAAGTGATCACTACAGGCACACAACACCGGGCACAGCTAATTATTATTATTATTTTGAGAACTGGGTCTCACTTTGTTGCCCAGGCTGGTCTCAAACTCTTGGGCTTAAGCAGTCCTCCATCTTGGCCTCCTAATGTGCTGGGATTTCAGGTGTGAGCCACCATGCCAAAAGACTTTCAGTTAATCCTGGTTTTCATCTTTGTCACCTACACTGGCATTTTTAATTTTCACTCACTTTTCTAGAGTTAGCCCAATTCACCTGTTTTGTTTTTTATTATGTACTTCCTGTTGGGTTTAAGTTTCAGCTTTTCTGTGCTAAGTCAGTTATTCTTCCAGTTTTTTTTTCTTATTTTCCAAATTTTGAAAGATTTCTCTTTCCTGGAGATTTCTTTCTTGTTAACTTATCCTTTTATTGTGATTTTTTGGTAGGGTTTACAGAGAAGCCTAAGAAAAAGGCTTTTTTGTTTACCCAAGAATCAGGCTGCTTTCTTATTGTTTAAAGCTATTATTTTAGGTTTATATGAGTTAGGAAATCTTCCCAGTCATTCTGTCTTTCCATAGACATTTTCCTGTAGATGTTACACAGTTTAGAAGGTGACACAACTGATGGTGATCATTTTGTGTGTCATATATGGCTAAAGAGACTAATATTAAGTAGCTTTTACGATGCTATAATTAAAGGCCGATCATCTTTGAATTTAAGATTACAAAAAGAGGACTGCCATTTAGAGGAGAATGCCGATTGAGCTACCTAAAAGAATGAAAGAGAAATATATGGAAGAAAGAAGTTAGAGTAAAACATGTACTACACTGAAAGAAAATGTTGGAGAAGCAGTATTTGCTTGCCAGAAAGATAAGTAGACTCAGAAATGAGGGTGATGCTGCCCAAGCAAGATCCAGGTATATTTTGTGTCCTTGCTTCTGCAGTGCACATTATTTCACATCTTAACATTTCTGAAATGGTTTTTTAACTTGGGTAGATGTGTACATTTAATATTGGAGGATTTCTTCCCCCCACCCTCAAATCTACCGTTGAATGATAGGTTTATTTTATAATTCAAGTGTCTTAAAAATGAAGAAATAGGCTGGGTATGGTGGCTCATGCCTGTAATCCCAGCACTTTGGGAGGCCAAGGCGGGAGGATTGTTTAAGCCCTGGAGTTTGAAACCACATAGTGAGAACTCGTCTCTGTTAAATATATATATATATATATATATATATATACACACACACACACACACACACACACAATGAAATAGAGTTCTTTGGAAGTCTCGTTTATGATCCTAGAATTTACCTTATCTTATCCCCGATTAACTCAGTTTATTCTTATTTAGTTTAATGTCACAGAAATTTGCTAAGTACTTGCTGTGAGGTGGGGAGTGGGGAAGAGCAGAAAGTTAAAGAAAGATGGCTAAATTGTAGTCCTTATCCTCCAGGAATCTGTAATCTTTTTTTTTTTAATCACCAAGGGAATTTGTAATCTATGAGAAGACACCTGAAAACAACTAACCAAGTAGGAGAGCAAAGTCAATATAATCAGCAGATTATTTGGGTAGCAAAGAGAAAGGTTTATTCTGACATGTAAGTGGGAATTAGGAAAGGCCCTGACATTGAAGTCAGACCTAGATCAGAAGCTGCCTTTATCATGTACAGCCAACCGGGCGCGGTGACTCATGCCTGTAATCCCAGCACTTTGGGAGGCCCAGGCAGCTGGATCGCTTGAGTCCAGGAGTTCAAGACCAGCCTGGGTGAGATGGTAAAGCCCCCTGTCTATAAATAAAGTACAAAAATTAGCTGGATGTGTTTGCATGTGCCTATAATCCCAATTATTTGGGAGGCTGAGGCAGAAAGATCACTTGAGCCTGGGAGGTGGAGGTTGCAGTGAGCTGAGATTGTGCCACTGCACTTCAGCCTGGGCAACGAGTGAAACCCTGTTGTACAGCAACATGTACAGCAATTAGAGAGTAATTCAGGGGTCCCCAACCCCCAGGCCATAGACCTGTTAGGAACTGGACCACCCAGCAGGAGGTAAATGGCAGGCCAGTGAGCTAAACTTTATCTGTATTTACAGCCCCTCCCCATGGCTTATATTAGTGCTTGAGCTCTGCCTCCTGTTAGGTAAGCAGTGGCATTAGATTCTCATAGGAACACGAATCCTGTTGCAAACTGCATGTGAGGGATCTAGGTTGCGTACTCCTTATAAGAGTCTAATGCCTGATGATCTATCACTGTCTCCCATTACTCCCAGATGGGACTGTGTAGTTGCCCAAAAACAAACTCAGGGCTCCCACTGATTCTACGTTATAGTGAACTGTATGATTATTTCATTATATATTACAGTGAAATAATAGAAATAAAGTACACAATAAATGTAATGTGCTTGAATCATCCTCAAACCACCACCACCCCCAACCCCTGTCTGTGGAAAAACTGTCTTCCATGAAACTGGGCCCTGGTGCCACAAAGGTTGGGGACCGCTGGAGTAACTGACTTCGAATAGGGGTTGTGGTAGGATATAAAACTAGAATGTCAATTTAAGGAGTTTGATCTTTATTCAGTAGGCAATGGGAATCGAGGTAGCAAGAGCTAACCTTTAAGGGAGAAAACTTACGGGGTTGAGACATCAAGATCACAGGAGTATCTGTTGCAAGAGTCTTGCAAGAGATGGCAAAGGCTGTGATAGTGACAACTGTGATGGTAGTTCTACTATGGGAGTCCAAAAAAAAATGAAACCCCTGTGGACTGGAAGGGCTATAAGCAGAGCCTGAGATAGGTTCTGTGAAGAGTGAGTAGGAGTCAACAACAGCCCTGTTATAAACTTGAATTTTAAATTAGTTTTATTGTACCACAGCATATCTCAGTGACAACAAAGCAAACAAATATTATTTAGCATTTTATTTCAACCAAATAAAAGTTGATTAAAAGTGAAATCTTATTTCCCGATATTTGAGTCTTTCAGGTATATATATTTTTAAAAACTGTTCTCTTCAAGTTTAAGGGTTAGCGTGTCAGGAATTAATTAAGCCCTGTAGTCATACGAGATAGGAAAAAGTGGACCTGAAAATGAGGACAAGAGAAGGACAAATTGCAGAAATGAGGACATATAACTCTTCAGAAGAATGTGTCGCACAATAGAAGGAGTATTAGCACATAAGGGTAAAGAAATAATGATTTGTAGTGTCATAAGAAAATGACAAAAGAATGTAAAAGAGTCATTTATAGAGGATGAGGGGGTAGTAGGCTAAAATTCCTCAAGTCAAAATTAATAAATTAAGACGAATTATTAAGGAAAAAGAGAAAAAAGATATGTCCTGCTGGCAGACTAGAGCATGCTTTGGAAGCCCAACCAAGCTATTACAGGTTTGGATCATAATCCAAAAGACACAATCCTGGATGCCATAATTCCTAAGTCTCGAATCTCAAAAGATTAAAATCCCGAATCTTGAAAGAAAGCTCAATTTTGGGGAAGGGATTAGTGTGTTTTGGGTATAAGCCAGTATTATACCTGCTTATATCATGGTAGGTGCATCATGTTAGGCAGAACTATTACCTTGTTCTTGTCTCTATTTGCATTGGGTGGAAAATTCAGGTGAGTGGATTGACTACTAGATGCTGCAGTGCTAAAAAGTTCAGTTTAAAAATGTGTCACCTGCATTAGCATCCCTTCCAGCTGATAGTATTCCTGGAACTTTGAATGAATTAAAGCCACATTTGCCAGAATAGGCCAGTGAAGTTACTGACTGGTTCAAAAATAATTATGTGTGGCTGGGCGTGGTGGCTTACGCCTGTAATCCCAGCACTTTGAGAGGCCAAGGCAGGTGGATCACAAGATCAGGAGTTCAAGACCAGCCTGGCCAACATGGTAAAACCTCATCTCTACTAAAAATGCAAAAATTAGTTGGGTGTGGTGGTGAGCACATGTAATCCCAGCTACCTAGGAGGATGAGGCAGAGAACTGCTTGAATCCAGGAGGCGAAGGTTGCAGTGAGCTGAGATCATGCCATTGCACTCCAGCCTGGGTGACAGAGCGAAGCTCCATCTAAAAAAAAGAAAAAATTATGTGCACAGAGGGTAAGAAGACACTGATGCAACAGTGTTGCTGCTTGATCACCAATGGATTTCTGGGTATCTAAAACAACATAGAAGCATGGCACAGAGGATGGGAACTTTTAATAGGGAAAGCTCACATTGATATATATCAAACCATAGAAGAATTTCAAAAAGAGCAGTGCCACCTAGAAAATGAATGTGAGCAGTATGTCTGAGGAAAGCCAGGTCCTAAAGGGAAAAAAAGCAGCTATTCATTGTGACACAAGACATCAAAATATAGTTAATAATGGAGAAAGCCAACTAGCTCTTAAGGAATATCTTCAGGCAATTGCCTACAATCTATCCCTGTAATAACACATTATCATATGTCACATTTTTTTAGCTTTTTTTTCTTTTTCAATTGTTTTCACTATTTTAAATTGTCAGCATTGGTTTTTACAATTCTCATTGCTATGTATTTCATCTTTACATCATTTACAATACTGGAGGTATAAACTGGGTAGAGACTTTGAGAGAGTTTTGATATGTTTTATGCATTCTTTGCCAACTTGACTGCAAAAAGACATTACCACAGTGTTGACTTTGTGTATCGGCATTGTGCATGTATGTGAAAACATGCTCAGTAAGTGGAAAAAGGTTATTTCTCTATATCTGTCTGCATTTGTGAAAAAGAAAATTTCTTGTGATCTCAGCTTTTTGGGCAATTGCATAGGTAGTGGTCACCCACTGTATTTTTCATTGATCCTGTCAAAAGACTTAGGTTGTTTGTCATGGTATTTCAGAGGACCACAGTTATAAAGCTAGGTTAACACACTTACCAACCATAGTGATAATGTATTTATACCTGATAATGTGTTTATACATTTTCCTTTTTGGCCTATTTCTTTGTGAATATGATTCACCTGCTCATGGCTGTTATATCTGTGGGACTGCCATTAATATACCTTAGTGCCGCAAAAATATATATGCTGTCATTGCCCATTTTATTGTGTAAAGTAGCCTTTGAAGTGTTCTGTTGTGTTTTTATGTTTCTCAAATAACACATTTGCCTCTTTTTAAAACTTTTTAAATTGAGACAGGGTCTCACTCTGTCACCAGGCTGGAGTGCAGTCATGTGATCACAGCTTACAGCAGCCTTGACCTTCCCCAGGTTCAGGTGATCCTCCCACCTCAGCCCCCCGAGTAGCTAGGACTATAGGCACATGCCATCACACCCAACTAATTTTTGTATTTTAAATAGAGATGGGGTTTCACCATGTTACCTAGGCTGGTCTTAAACTCCTGGGCTCAAGTGATCCACCAACCTTGACCTCCCAAAGTGATGGAATTAGAGGCGTAAGCCACCGTACCCAGCCCCCCCAAATTCTTTAAAAGGTAACTCCCCTTTTAAAAATGTAAATGAGGGCTGGGTGTGGTGACTCATGCATGTAATCCTAGCACTTTGGGAGGCCAAGGTTGGTAGATCACTTGAGCCCAGGAGTTCGAGACCAGTATGGGTAACATGGCAAAACCCCGTCTCTACTGAAAATACAAAAATTAGCCAGGTGTGGTGGTGTGTGCCTATACTCCCAGTTACTTGGGAGGCTGAGGTGGGAGGATCACCTGAACCTGGGGAGGTTGAGGCTGCACTGAGCCATGATCACACCACTGCACTCCAGCCTGGGTGACTCCAGGGGGGCAACAGAGTACAACCCTGTCTCAATTAAAGTAATAATAATAGTAATAAATGAAATATTTAGGCCAAATGTGGTAGCTCGTACCTGTAATCTCAGCACTTTGGGAGGCTGAGGTGGAGGATCACTTAGGCAGCAAAGGGAGACCCTGTCTCTATATTATTATAAATGATTTTTTAAAAAGAATCAAAAAAATTATTCTTCCTAGAATTACATGTTTGAGATTTCAATGTTTATTGATTGTCATTTTTGGGATTTTAGACTTCAGCATTTCGATCTGTTGAAATTTCAAGATTTGGGATTATGGCATTTGAGATTTGTGTATTTTGGTATTATGATCAACTCCCACTTTACCAGATTTACTTTAAAAGTTTCCCCGAGTAATGTAGACATGATTCTCAGCTACAGCATTTTTATACTAATGATTTTAATGGATTTTTATAAATTCTGAATTGAGCTAATTATAATTATATAGCCTGATAGTATGCTTTGGTTTTCAGTTGCATTCCAGCCTGGGAGACAGTGAAATTCTGTCTCAAAAAAAAAAAAAAAAAAAGATTGAGAGAGAGAAATAAAGATCTCATATCTGTCATTCTACTGGAAAATATTTTTGAATTGAGAAGTATTTCAATGGTATTTTTAAAAAAGAGAAAAAAATTTAGACTGTATTTTATAAAATCAAAGTGTAAATGAAGTGAAATGAGGGTGTTGCTATCAAAAATTTAAAAAAACTAAAATATTTAACTCACTATTGTTTTAACTTTCCTTAAAAGTCATGACTTTATGTCTTTAACAAGGTCTCAAACTAATCTTTTAGAAGATGCTAGTGAGGGAGCAAAGCAAGTGTGTAATAACTTTTAACACAGCTAATCTTTATATTATACAGTTGGCTGGGGAACAGACCAGGGAATTGGTGGATTCGGAGAGGAGCCGGGAATTAAATCACAGCTAATGAACCTTATTCGATCTGTAAGAACCGTGATGAGAGGTAAGAAGAAAAGCTAATAGAGCACTCTTAAGTTTTAATGTTGTGGTTTTATTTAAGTAGCAAAGCTTCTGAATGTGAATACCACATATGCCATTTGCAGTGGGAATTTTCTTTCTCTTAAACATGGCTTTACTGCTTGAAAGTTAATGGGTTTTTTTTTTTTCTTAGTTTGCCTCTTATTTCTATCTAAGCCAGTTGGTACAGCATGCTTATAATCTGTATATTTTTGTGTTACCTGTCACAGCTAAAAGACAAAATTATATTCTTGCCTTTTGGGAACTGTTGCTTCCAATTTGTAAAAGCATATACAGTATTGGGAGGCTTTCAAGAGAAAGCTGGGCGCGGTGGTTCACTCCTGTAATCCCAGCACTTTGGGAGGCTGAGGCAGGCAGATCACCTGAGGTCAGTTCGAGACCAGCCTAGCCAAGATGGTGAAACCCCATCTTTACTAAAAATACAAAATTAGCCAGTGGCACATGCCTGTAATCCCAACTGCTCAGGAGGCTGAGGCAGGAGGATGGCTTGAACCCTGGAGGTGGAGGTTGCAGTGAGCTGGGATCGTGCCATGCCACTGCACTCCAGCCTGGGAGACAGTGAAATTCTGTCTCAAAAAAAAAAGAGAGAGAGAGAGAAATAAAAATCTCATATCTGTCATTCTACTGGAAAATATTTTTGAGCAATTCAAGAAAAAAGAGCAAAAACCTTTTATTTAAAATGATTATAATTAGGGCCTCTTCTCCTTTTAACAACCTTGGATACAATGTTAAATAAGTTCATTTTTAATGTAGTAAATTGACATTACAGAATTTTCTTTGCATTGTATTTCTAATCTCAAGTGTCAGTGGCAACCCTGCAGGTCTACTTCTGCCTGAATCTGATGCACTTATGTTCCCAAGGTTGTACCAGGACTATCTACAGATGTTTCACATTGATCTGATTGTTCCAGTGCAACCCTTATTCCCAGTTATACAGACTTTCTTGAAAATAAGTTTTGGATTTCATGATCTAAAGTATTTTAGAATGTCCCTGTAATAATGATTTATAACATGATAATGATGACATATTGTTAGATATTTCCATCCTTGCTAGAGGCTAATAACTATTTCCAAGTTTTTTCTCTGATTTTTTTTTTATAGTAACAAACTTTTTTTTTCTCTTTGCAGTGCCATTGATAATAGTAAACTCAATTGCAATTGTGTTACTTTTATTATTTGGATGAATATCAGTGCAGGAAATGGAGACTCAGAAGAAGACATGCCAGTAGAAGTTATTACTTCAGTCATTTATTGGAATATTTATATCACTAGCTCACCTTGCACTTGTCAAAAATGTAAAGATGAAAATAAAGCCAGAGTTTCTATTTATCTGTTTTTTTTTTAATGTTGCACTTGTGGTTTCATTACCGAAAGATCAGATCATGAGAGGCAGTAACTCTCCAGGACTGGAGTATCTGATTGGTCACTGTTAATAGTAGTTCATGCTGTGGTGAGATTGTTAAAAGAGTGCAAGACTGTTGCTTCTCTCTTTTTTTTTTTTTTTTAGATATTTTTCTATGTCTCACTTCTCAGGGATGAATTT